GGGTAGGGAGTCTGCTTCTCCCTCTGCCCCTCCCTCTGATCATGCTTTCTCTTACTATTTCTCTCTCAAATAAATAAATAAATAAATAAAATCTTAAAAAAAAAAAAGACTGCAATGGGAGTTATCTCTTTGAGCTATAAAGAACATGTGTTATTGGCCACTATTGGGTGCTACATACTTTGTATTTATTTTATTTAGAGGATTGGAAGTGGCCTCATTGGAGATACAAAAAAGATTAAATGTTGTAGATTTATATCTGAAGTCAAGGCAAATATGTCACGGAGGGTGTATGTGTTTGTGTATGTTAAAGGGCTGCCTTTCTGAAAGAGCTACGTTTAGTAGAGAAGGAACAGGTTTAAGTTGTTACCTCGACCTTACACCTAATTGTGTGTGACCATAGACAAGTGACCTTTTATCTTTATTTCTACTTCCTCGCTTGTTAAGAGTTATAATACTTACCTTGACTGACTACACAGTTACTAAAACACTCCGCTATGATCAAATAAATGTTAAATTCAGATCAGTAGGTGAGTAAGGTATGTATCATTCATGTATAAGACAATCTGAAAATGTTTAACAGTAGGAATCTATGCAAATCCAGCGTTCAATTAAATTTGGTGGGGGTTAAAACTGTGTATGCTTTTTTAAAAGTAGATTACAAATACAGTTGTCTTTTGCCATAGCTGCAGGATTAGGGCTGATGGCTCTGGCCACGTGCTGCCCTCCTGTGCTTCCCAAACAGCGCAGCAGGTCAGCTGCATTCCTGCCTGATGAATGCTCTTGCGGGGGGAATTCTATCTTATTACTTACCCTCTTCTGTCCTCCTGTGGCCACCGAGGGCCTAACGGTTCTGGATGTTCCTGTTTTCTTCAGTAAAGGGAGAGATGGAAAACTACTCTGAAACATTCTATGCCAGAAAATCTAATCCCGGGTTAAGGAAAAAGGCAGCAGATTGCATTTGACACTGGAGATCTAATTGGTCCACTGATACAGGAAGATACTAAGCAGATTTTTGAGGTTTATAGAAGAATACCATTATGACAGAGTAAGGAAGGGCTTTTTGTCAAGAATAAATAAAAATGCAACTCATTGTCCTTTTAATATGCTAAGAATTTATAATAGACCCTTACACTGTTTCTTTGGTAAATAACACAGTGTATTATAGTGGGAACAGAGGATGCTGTTCTACAATGAATTTCTAAGCAGAACATTAGCCAGTTGAAATATGAGACTCACAAGCAAGGCTAATTCCGTGCTAATTCTCTTAGCACATTCTCCAAAAGTGATTCCTTTCAAAGAGGTTTAAGGAAGTTTGTCAACATGACAACTTTTTGGAAGGTTCAGAAAAGATATTGAAAGAAGCATCATGAAACCACACAAAGAAACAAGTAGAGAGGATAATCGATGGGAGACACCTTTATAATGTGTTTACTCCCCATCTGCCAATGCTCAGACCTCACCCCTGGCCTGCTTCCAGACTAGTTGACTGATATTAGAACCTAGCTACCCTCTGCCTACACGAGGTACATGTGTGCATATTTTATTCTTGTGGGTATATAGCAGTCAAGATTTCACATCTTCCAGTCTACCAAAACTACTCTTATCAAGATCACCAGTGACGGGGCGCCTGGGTGGCTCAGTGGGTTAAAGCCTCTGCCTTCGTCTCAGGTCATGATCCCAGGACCCTGGGATCGAGCCCCGCATCGGGCTCTCTGCTCAGCAGGGAGCCTGCTTCCTCCTCTCTCTCTCTCTCTCTGCCTGCCTCTCTGCCTACTTGTGATCTCTGTCTGTCAAATAAATAAATAAAATCTTGGAAAAAAAACAAAAAAGATCACCAGTGACTTCCATGGCAGAATCCAATGGTGGATCTTCAGTCTTCGTATTTCTTATCAGCAGCACTTGAACCATTTGATCTTTCTCTCCCTGAATCACATTCTTTAATTTGGTCTCTGGGTCACCTCACTCTAGGCTCTCTTCCACTCCAGTCTGTGGCTCCTTTCTGGTCTCCTTTGCCTAGATCCTTTCCACCTTCTTGATTTCGAAAGGTTGTAATACAGGAGGCATACTGCTCAGGTCTCTTTTCTTCTCAGTCTAAATTTACCTCCTTGGTGACCTCATCTGGTCCCATGGCTTTTTAGTCCCATCACCTAAATGCTGAAAATTTCCAAATCTGTATCTCCAACACAAACTTCTCTCCCCTGAATTCCAGACTCACATATACATCTGCTTTTACTCAACATTTCAATTTGGATGTTTATCGATATCTCAAGCTTAACGCATTCACAGTGAAATTTGTCCCTCTCTCAGCCAACCTCATTTCAGCAAATGACCACTTTCCTTCAGCTGCTTAGACCAAAAAGCTTTGGAGTCATTGTGGACTCCTCTCTCTGATACACACATTTCCAAACCTTCAGGTAATCCATAGCCTATGGCTTTAAAAAACACCTCTATCAATTCTATCCTTTTTCTACTTACACTGCTACCATCCTGGTCTGAGGCAACATGACCTCCTTTTGGATTATTGCAGTGGTCTGCTACCTGGTCTTTCTACTTCTCTCTTGCTTCTTTGAAGTATTTCCCACTCAGCAAAGTGATCAAAGTTAGCCAAAGTCCCATCAAAACTCTCTGCTCAAAGACAGATTATCTTAAATGGAATAAAACCCAAAGTCTTTAGCATGGCTTATAAAGTATACCTCATCTGGGCCCCTACCTACTGTGTGATTTCATTTCCTACCTCCCTGTCCCTACTTTATTTCTGGCTTACTAGTTCCCTTACTGTTCTTCAGCCATTCCAGGCACATTCCTACCTCAGGGCTCTGGGATTTACTATTTTCTCTGCCTAGAACACAGAAAATTACATAGTCAATGCCCTCATTTCATTGAGGTCTCTATTCAAATGTCACTTTATCAATGAATTCTTTCCTTTTAATATAGCATCTGCCGTCATTACTCTCTTACCCTGGAGTAGTTTATTTTTCTTTCTAGCACTTGTAACAACATGACACACTATGCTTATTTGTTTGTGTATTGTCTGCCTTCCACACTTGAGTATAAGCTCCATTGCATGAAAGCAGAACTTTGGCTATCTTTGTTTTCTACTGTGTCCCCAGAAAGCCTGGCATCTGGTAAGGGCTCATTAAAAATTTAATGAATGAAGGAATGAACAAATATTCATGTGAACAATTATTCAGAGAGTGGTCAGGAGTAGAAAATGAGCACTTTCTCTTCTCTCTCTCTTTTTAAGTGTAACTGCATAAACTGAAGACTGAGATCATAATCGAGGGAGGTTTTCTCCTTCATGTTTTCTCAGTTTAAAGAATAGAATGTGGCTGAAAACACTGAATTGGTAGTGAACATGTTTATTATCTCAAATTCCGTGTTCTAGTCCAGAAGTTGTCCACTTACATTTCAGTCTTGGAAACTGAATAAATCAGGTAAATAAATCACATAAATCAGGTATGCAGTCACAATTCCAGTTCTTTCTATTTATTTCCCATGCTTATGAAATAAGCAATACTAGTAAATCTGCATTTGCTTACTACATTTTACTTGGAAATGATTATTTGCCTCTAAGTTGAGATGCTTGAGGTATTTTTTTCTTTAAAGCATGACCCCACTTATCAATTTGCAGCCCTTTTTGAATCCAGTTCCTTTCAAAGTTGCTACTTTTCTTTGCAGGAATTTAACTCTCATTTCCCCCAGAAACTTCTTCTTCTTCTTCTTCTTCTTTTTAAAGATTTATTTATTTGAGAGAATGAGTGCACACGTGTGGTGAGGGAGGGGCAGAAGGAGAGAATTTCAAGCAGACCGCCCCCCTCAACCCCTCACTGAGCCACTGAGTGCACAGGGACCAGCCTGGGGCTGGATCCCAAGACTCATAAGATCATGACCTGAGCTGAAACCAAGAGGTGGAGGCTTAACTGACTGAGCCACCCAGGTGCCCCTCTCGCCGAAACTCTTTTTATGAATATTGCATTGTAGGTAAGTTTAGGCAATGATTCCTCAGTCATAAAATTTACAAACCCACCACATCATTGCATCTTCTACAAGTGTCATCACCTTGGACTCTGGACTGCTTCACAAAGCAGGCACACTGGTCTTTGTGCCTTTTCTGCTCTCTTGCGTGGCTTTGGAACACTCAGCCTTCTGTCTCAGGCCTTCATCTGTGAGGAGCATAATAGCATTTGTCTCATAACTGTGGTCTTATGAGGGCCAAATGTGATGATACCAGAAAAACTGCTTTCAAATATGTAAACTATTGTGTTCATCAGGAACATCTTGGGTTCTGCTAACAGAAACCCATTAACAAACTAGCTTGGAAAAAAGGGAGGGGAACTGTTTTATAAACACAGGGCTGTCCACAAAACTTAAGTCCAGGGAGTTGGACCTCATGACCTTCGGGATCCAGAAACTGGGGAGTCTTTGGTGGCTAGGGGTTGTCTGTCTTTCTAAAACCCATGGTCTCTTTTCTCTACCCCTCTTTACATGTCCGTTTCTTTCTTCTGACACTCTATAGGTGATCTTTATCTGCATATCCATCATATATGGGTCAAAGATACCTTTCTTAAAACAGCTCTTTCATTTTTAAAACAAATTTTAAAAGATTTTATTTTATTTTATTTATTTATTTATTTATTTGAGAGAGAGAGAGAGAGAGAGCGCACAAGCAGGAGGAGGCATTAGGAGAGGGAGAAGCAGGCTCCCCGCTGAGCAGGGAGTCTGATGCAGGGTCTCAATCCCAGGATCCTGGGATCATGACCTGAGCCGAAGGCAGATGCTTAATGGTCTGAGCCACCCAGGTGCCCTTAAAACAGCTCTTTCAATTCCAAATCTTCATTACCTTATTAATCCCTAACTTACAATTTATTAACTGAAGTTTCTGAGACTTTTCAGGAGAGCGAATTTGGTTGGCTATGTTTAGGTCAAATAGGACGCCTCCTCTTTCCTCATCTGGTCAGGTTCAGGAACGGAATGGGAACAGTGTCATGTAATCAGCTGTCCCTCAACAGAAGAGGCTAAGGGAACAGACTCTCTGAGAAAAGAGCATGGGACAGTGAAGAAACAATGAATGTTGCATACCTCCGGTGTGATACAAACATAAACAGAGAACATCTCGTACATCCTCATTCCCATGCCTCTGTAACTTTTAATCTACTAAGTATCTGATGTAGCCTTATGACTAATGGCACATTTGTAAATATGGACAGGTCTCACAGAGCCCCACCAACCAAGACAACCTTTCACATTATGGTTCAGATTCATGTTTCTAATATTATCTCTGTAGCCCTCTTAACAAATATAGTCTCTCTTTCTTTTCCTGAGGATCGAGTTTCAATGTATATGCTGACTGTATCAAAATTCTTAATCTTCCCTATTCCTTATCTCCCCAATTTCCCCCTCTATACTAATTAGAATTGACTGCAGGATGCTAGAACAAATAGACCCCAAATGTAATGGTTCAGTGAAATAGAAATTTTTATGTTTTTTTTTCAAGTCAGGGACCCAGGTTGATCACCTTCAACATGTGGCTTCAAGGACACCTGTCTGGCTCCATCAGTAGAGAATGCGACTCTTGGTCTTGGGGTTGTGAGTTCAAGCCCCATGTTGGCTGTAGAGCTTACTTAAAAGCAAAATGAAAAACATATGGCTTCCAAAGTTGTGGTAGTATTCACCCTTATAGTCCATGGGAAGGGGGAAAGAGAGGCAGCAGCAGGAAGCTGATGTGACAGGTTTTATGCGCTGGACTTGGGAGACCACATACCACTTTTCCTTATATTCTGTGGAAAATACCTGCTCATAAGTCCATATCTATCTGCGCACTGGGAAATTTAGTGTGGCTGGGCAACTGCAAGCCCAGTTATAATTCTGAGACAAAGGGACAAAGCAAGAATGGATCTGGGGGGACAGCTAGCAATCTCTGTTACCTCCTCCCTCTGTGTGACTGCTCTTCCTTAATGCATGACTCTGAAATACCTAAGTGTGAGTCCTTCAAGTAACCTTCATATCTCTGTCTTTCCCCAATCCCCTTTGCTCTTCAAACTACCTAAGCAATCCTACGTTTGTTTTAAGCTTTTCATTCCCTCCTCCCCAGCACTGCTTCATGCTCTTGTAGCCTTGCTTGAGCCTCTGAAGTTACCTGAATGACCTCCCTGAGTCAGCCTCTTCAGGCTCATACCCATCTATTGTCGGATGCCACTTCCCACCGCAAAGATCTGGTTGTCCAAGACAGTTTGGGCTGCTTAGCAGTTAGCCTCTCCTACACTGAGGCCATAATCACCACATACAAAGCATCTGAGCTATGCCTTTGTCGCTCAGGTGATCGTGCCAGATTGCCTCCAAACCTCTGTTCCAAATCCTCTCATCCTTGTCTCGTGACCCATGCTTCTACCCTCTTGCCTCATATCTATACTTTGCCCAACACCAGCTTCCTTTGGATTAACACCGTAATGGGACTGTCTACCTAGCTTTCCACTTAGCTCTGTCCCTGGACACTTGTCTCTCAAAGCCCAGGCTTCCCCTTGTTCAAGAGGCAAACCTGGACAGTGATCATGTTATTCACGTCACCAAAAGCTCCATTAGTTCCCATTGCTTACTGAGTAAAAGTGGGGTTTTTGTTTGTTTGTTTGTTCGTTTTTTAGTATACCATCCATGGACTGCCAACTGTCTGATCCCATCCCCCAATTACCACCCCTACCAAGACATCCTGATAATCTTGATATTTTTCTCCTTCTTCAAGATCTGAAGACATATACTCATATATCACTTCCTTGAAGGCTTCTTCCTCCTCCCTCCTTTGGAGTTCATATTTGTAACCTGTTCTTGCAGGTGCCGCTTTCTACCTCTGCAATTTTTTGTGCACATGGTGGCCTCCCACACACCCGATGTATACTTCCTAAAGGCAGGGATCGTGACTTAAGTCATCCTTTTAAGCCCCATGTTGCTGAGAACAACTCTGTGGGGAATACCTCACATATGGTAAGAGCACATCATTCAGCTGCTTAAAACCTCCTAATGTCCCAGTGGCTTCCCATATCACTCAGTCCAGGATAAAAACTCCATAGAGGCGGGGCACCTGGGTAGCTCCGTTGGTTAAGCCTCTGTCTTCCGCTCAGGTCATGGTCCCAGAGTCCTGGGTTAGAGCCCCACATCATGCTCTCTGCTCAGCGGGAAGCCTGCTTCTCCCTCGCCTTGCTGCTCCCCCAGCTTTTACCCCTACCCCCCACCCATGTCAAATAAAAAACAAAAACAAAAACCATACAAAAACAAACAAACAAACAAAACCAAAAAGAAAACTCCACAGAGGCCTAGATGGTCTTGTGTGGTCTGAGTTCCTGCTACCACTCCTCTGGCTGTTCCTGGAACACATCATACAAGATCTCACTTCAGAGGGTTTGCATTTGCTGTTCCCTTTATTGGGACACTCTTTCCCCAGCTATCCACGCAGTTTGATTTCTCAAGTCCTCAGGGTTTCTCCCCAGGGCCACTTCCTCAGTGAGGCCTTTTCTGGCCACTCTGGTCACTTTAGGACCTCACAGCCCTCTCTTTTCCTTGTCCCTGCTTATCCTTTCTCTAGAGCACGTATCACTTCCTTACATAGTATATCTTTCCCTCCTGTAATTTTGTGTTTATTTTGTCTCCCCTCCCCCTCCTAGAACGTAAGTTTCATCCTCCTCTAAATCTGTTTACTGCTCTATCCGCAGCGCCTAGGATAATGCCTGATATATCCAAGGCAGTCAGTAAATATTTGTCGAAAGAGAAAAAGGATAAGCAAATTAGTAGAAGGTGCCTAATAAATATTTGTTCCACTGAATGAAAATGTCAAAAACAGTGGACTGTGAAATTTTCTCAAACACTGAAAGTACGTGGGTTTCGGAGAACAGCGAAATTGAGCAAAAGCTGCCTCATTATAAACATCCTCGAGGAAGGATTAAAATTGGGTTACTTGTGGTGGGAGGGGCTGCTGGGCCAGGAAACTAGTACCTTCTCAGAAACACCGGGGAGCTGCAGGCCTTCCCCTCACTGAGAGGACCGCATCTGGGAGGCGGGCTCGCACTACCTCCGCATTTGGACACTTGACCACCACACAGGTGTTTGAAGTTATTTTGGGGTCTGCCTCTCTCGGTGTGTGAAGGACACGGAAATCTGGGCTGGCTTACATGACACTGCTCCGTTCTAAGGAGGAAACTATCCGGAGTGAAAACGACTTGCGAAAACGCCGCTCAGGACGAGATTCTGGGTCCTGGGGAAGCAGAGCCCATTTTAGAGCAGTGCGAGCGGAACTTTTTGCATTCTACCCAAGCTCCGCCTTCGTGGTGTTTTTCTGAGCGTTTCGCCGTGGCTTACTCTTTCGCAGCCGAACGCTTTCCGCAAGAGGATGGCGCTCTGATGTCCACATTCCCTCTTCCCCTGCCGACTCTGTAGTATTTTTTTTTTTTTTTCACGCTTCGTCGCTACTACAGCAGACGCCTGCCTTCTCATTATTTACCCGCACCGATCTCCGGTGCCTGGACTGTAAACAAAACACTTTAGATCATAGCAAGGTCGGTGTAAGCACAGCCTTTCTGCAGGCGGCCCGTTGTCTTAAGGTGGCGTGACTGTGACTCGTTTACTTTTCAGGATTAACAAAGCAACAAAATGGTGCTCCTACATATTACTGGAAGAAAGATTCAGGGTGCGTAGGGGGTGGAATTACTGATTTTCTACTTTTATGGAAGATATTAATTCCATTAATAAAATCCAACTCTTGTGGTATGTTGAAATGGAATGGAATATCTCCATTTACATATCTGTGGTACTTTATTCCTACATGTGAATTTATGCTTATATATATTATAGAATTCCTGTGTAGGCTAGCAATTAGGTAAAAATGTCAACAATGACCTACTTTCAGGAATAGGGTATAAATGATGGTATGGAGGCCTACCCTAATTTTCTCATCCTTCTCCCCCCTTTTCCAGCCCAGTAAATTAAGTAGTGCATTCGACGTGGAAAAATAGAGACAAGACCTCTCACTCAGGCTCTCATGGGATCAGACAAATATTTTCTGTTAAGCAGGTAGGAAGTCCTGACTTTGAAACAAGTTTGGGACACTTCCTCTCTTCTCTCACTGCTTTCTGGGTATCACCCTTGTCCTTTTGGAATCTGCATTTTAGTTGAACTAGTGCATAGTGATGGGAAAAGCCAGTGACAGCTGCATATAAATATCAGTGACCACAGGCCACATCAAGGAAACATCTGCAGGCAGCCCAGGGAATGAGCGGGAGCCATTTTGAATCACTTGTAAGAGAGGAGGACCTGCAGGCTACATACAGCCCAGGCGAATGCAGACAAAACCTGAACCTTTAGGGAGGAAAGAAAGAGAAAATGAACCAGTCTGAGAGGAGACCTGCCTCTAGACCCCGGTCTGCTATCAACTGGCTAGGCATCCCTGGACAGGAAACCTCTCCTGCTGTCAGTTTCCTCAGTGGTATAAAAGGGAGGGTTGAGCCCCAGTGTTCTGAAGGGCCCTGCCTGCTCTGACATTCTGGAGTGCTGAGGTGAGCGAGGCAGGCCGCCACACAAGTGGAACACACAATATGTGGTTAAGAAAACAAGTTAAAAATCAAACTCACCTGTGGCATAGATGCGTAAGAAAACACTGGTGCTGTGTACGATTACAACTGAGGGAGATTAGTTTCCAGTAAAATGTACTATGTCCCAAACCAAGATTATATGTATGGGGATGGAGGGAGACAGCAGAAGACCCTTTGAGCTCTGCCTCAGATAGGACAGCCCCTCCGCCTTCTGTTTTAAGTCCCACCACCCTGTGCAGGATCCTTCTGGTAGGTAATTTCTAGCTGCAAAGGGGAGCCGAGAAACGCCCAAGTAATAATATCAGACATGAGGATATGGTTGTGGTGGGTTTTATGAATCATTTCATAATCTGGACTTTCAGATTACTTTCACCCTTCAACGATTTGTAGCCATCTGTCTAAAGGCATTCCCTTGCATCTAAATTCTGTTCTGGGAGGGCAGGAGCAGTGAATCTGGTGGGAGAAAAAGGTGGAGGAAGGAAGGGGCTGTTGTATTTGGCGGCGGCGGATTCCTGGACTTTCAGATTACTTTCCCCTTCAACGACTTGTAGCCGTCTGTCTAAAGGCATTCCCTTGCATCTAAATTCTGTTCTGGGAGGGCAGGAGCAGTGAATCTGGTGGGAGAAAAAGGTGGAGGAAGGAAGGGGCTGTTGTATTTGGCGGCGGACTCAGGTAGAGGGAACTGCTACAACCCCAGGAAAGAATCGAAAAATGAAGAGGAGACGGAGTTCCCACACGCAGCCCCAGTCAATGGCTTTAACTATGCTGGGGAAGCCAGAACCTGCGTCAGGGGTGTAACCTCGCTTTTGAAACCGAAGTGTGTCTGAGACAGCTACCAAGTTCGTTAGGGACTTGGGAGACCAGCGGACTTCTTGATCTTGAAACCCTTACTTTTATTAAGGGAGACCTTGGGTTCAGAATACATTAAAAGTGCTGCGTCCAGGTTCGCCTCGGCTTCTCCCCAAAGCCCCCGTTCCCCGAGAAGAGCAGAGACTTCTAGATTCAGAGTGAGCTAACCAGGGCTCACCCCCAGCCGAGGCACCCAGGCAGGGGGGCTCCCAGACCCTCGGCGCAGGCTACCCTGCCTCCCCGCAGTGCCAGAGGTTAGGGCCCACCGGCGAGAGCCCAGCTGGGGGGCAGAGCTTCCACAGCCTGCCTCCTCCCTCAGCGGCCCGCACCCCCCAGGCTCGGCGACCGCGGGGAAAACAAGATCGCCACCAAGGCGTAAACCGACCGCCAACCACCTTGGAGATCACGGGATCCTGGCCCCTCCGTGCCCCCTCCACCCCGGGCGAGCAGCGGGCGCGCCAGGCAGCGCCGCGCGGGGACCTGAACCCGAGGCCTCGCCGCCCCCGCCCCTCCTGCCCCTCCCCGGCTTCCCGGCCGTTTGGCGAGTTTGTTTGTCTCGTTTTTAATTTCTCCGAGGCCAGCCGGAGCAGGTTTGCTGGCAGCGGCACACCTCCGGCAGTCACGCGACCAGCCAATCTCCGGGCGGCGCTGTCGGCGGCTGCGCGCGCGGGCGGGCGGGGAGGCGGCGCGGCCGCGCGGGGCCACCTTAAGGCCGCGCTCGCCAGCCTCGGCGGGGCGGCTCCCGGCGCCGCAACCAATGGATCTCCTGCTCTGTTTAAATAGACTTGCGGTGTCAATCATTTTCTTCTTCGTCAGCCTCCCTTCCACCGCCATATTGGGCAACTAAAAAAAGGGGGCTCGTCTTTTCGGGGTGTTTTTCTCCCCCTCCCCTGTCCCCACTGCCTCGCCGCTCCGCGACTCCGACGCCGGCAAGGTTTGGAGAGCAGCTCGGTTGGCGGGACCCGCGGGCTCGCCGCCGCCCGGGCTTGGACGGGCTTTGCCACCCCCTCCTCTCTCCACTCCCCTCCCCTCCCCGCCCTCGAGCTCGCCGGTACACTTGATCGGCGGCGGCTCTCGGCTGCCTGGCCGGGGCTTCCCCTCCCCCTCCCGCAGAGCCAGCGCGCCCCTGACGCTCGGGCAGTTACTTGTCCGTGTTTGTTTCTCTTGGCTCCGAGCGCGGTCGCAGGGCTTATAAGAGGGGTGCGGGCTGGGTCGGGGCGTTTTGTTTTGTTCAGTTTTGTTCTGCGAGCGCGCGCGCGAGGCGGTAGTGAAGACCCGGAGGAAGATGTCAAACGTGCGGGTGTCTAACGGGAGCCCGAGCCTGGAGCGGATGGATGCCAGACAGGCGGAGTACCCCAAGCCCTCCGCCTGCAGAAACCTCTTCGGCCCGGTCAACCACGAAGAGCTGACCCGGGACTTGGAGAAGCACCGCAGAGACATGGAAGAGGCAAGCCAGCGCAAGTGGAATTTTGATTTCCAGAATCACAAGCCCCTGGAGGGCAAATACGAGTGGCAGGAGGTGGAGAAGGGCAGCTTGCCCGAGTTCTACTACAGACCCCCGCGGCCACCCAAAGGCGCCTGCAAGGTGCCGGCGCAGGAGAGCCAGGACGTCAGCGGGACCCGCCAGGCGGTGCCTTTAATGGGGTCTCAGGCAAACTCAGAGGACACACACTTGGTAGACCAAAAGACTGACACGGCGGACAACCAGACGGGCTTAGCGGAGCAGTGCACTGGGATAAGGAAGCGACCGGCCACAGACGGTAATGACCCTTCCCCAAACAGAACATGTCCGTCTGTCTGTCCGGCTGGGGCACCGCTTTGACCTGCTTGAGGGTCTTCACCTCCGCTTTTTTTTAAAATTTTTTTTTTTTTAATTTTTCACCCCCAGAGCATTCCGATTTAGCTTTCGGGGAGCGAACTGCCCTAATCTTAGGTTTTTATTAAATGCTGTTCGGCTGACCGCTTGTCTGGTGATAGTTTTTAAGTCAGGAGCCCCAGGGGGTAGTATCTGACCATTTCTCCAAGCGAAAGCATCACAGTGCCTCCCCGCTAGCCAGCGGTAGGTCTGTGACTACACCGGGATGTTTATCAGCGGCCTCCCTCTTGGCAATGGAGAGAGAGCTTTGGGGCGTAGAATACACTTCTGTTATGTGAAAACAACCTCATTTTGTGCCCTTAAAGGCCACTGGGCATGACGGATCCAGGCTTGTGGGTGGAGGTGTGGGTTTTTCATCCCCTGACTATTGTGCCAGCTTCTGTCAGCCATTGTTTTCCTAATAAAGGTTGTGTGTGTTCTTTTTAAAACTCCCTCTTACCCTTAGATTCCTCTCCTCAAAACAAAAGAGCCAACAGAACAGAAGAAAATGTCTCAGACGGTTCCCCGAACGGGGGTTCAGTGGAGCAGACGCCCAAGAAGCCGGGCCTCAGAAGACGTCAAACGTAAACTGTTCGGTGGGTTGATTGCTAGGAGCACGTAACTGACACCCCGAATTGGGTTTTCATACCCTGACATACCGATCTTAGTGGTTGCTGGCACACTAGAGCTTGTGGGTTTTTGTATTGTTTATATTTTGGGAAGTCGAAAAGTAGGAATGGGGAAGGCTAGGAATCACTGGTGGGGATACTGTAATTTTTTCAGTTTCTTCATCCCGAGATCATTTTTCCTTGAAACACTGAATAACCAGAGCAGGTGTCCTAGCCAAGTACTTGTGACCAAAGACTGATGAGTAGGAAGGTCCAGTCCCTCTGAATCCCACCAAAACTTGTTGGGAACAATAGGTTCTTTCCCCCATCTGAACAAGAACTGGGATATGCCTCAGTCCCACTTCATGAGAATTCATTTCCCAGAGGTTCAAGTTGACTCAGTAACAGATTTTGAGGTATATGTGGGAAAATGGCAAGTGATTAAATTTTAAAATTTGAGGGAAAAGTTAGGTACAAATGGCTCATATGTGGTGAATCCAGTTGTTAACAATGTGAATAGAGAGGTATATTACATTCTTTTATCATTTTCACAAACTGCCACTTTTCTCTGTTTGCTTACAAATTTGGAGAACAGGAAATGAGCCCTGTGTATTAAAAAAGAAAAAAAAAGGCCGGGGGGGGGGGCGGCGGGGGGGAACAAAATAAAATGGAAAAATGCTAAGGTCCCTACAGAATTTTCTGATAACACTGAAGTTGCAAACCAGAAGTTAAGTTAACTTTGCTGGATTAAGCAGTCCAGGCACAAGTCAGAATATGTATACTAATTGTCTGATTGTGCTAGAACAGGATGATTGGGATTATTTGTAGGGAAAACAGATAATAGATAACAAGGGCCGCAAGGGTAGATCTACCTTAGGCAAGAGAAGTGGAGATTTTTTTCCATCTACTAAAGTCTGATCAATATGAATAGTTAATTTGAATAATTGAGCCCTCCACTTTCCACAGATTGGTTTTTCCGTAATGATCAAAGTGTATATGTTAATAGTTTGAAAACTTCATAACTTCGAGGACCATGACCTCTTCCCCAAACCCCAAACACAGTCATAGCTTTGCACATAAAGAGATTTCAGTAGATGTTACTAATTTTTAAAATTCTCATTTATAAAAAGGTAAGAATAAAGAACAGAGAGATTAAGGTGAGATTCTAGTTTGTTGTGTTTTTAGCTCATAATGTCATATATATGATTTCTTCACACCTATCTGACATTTTTCAAAGCTTATACAAAACATCCCTATAGAATCTCTATTTTTTAGCTATATATGAAGTGGGAAAATTGGATTTAAAAATTTCCTGAAGCAGCCTGCAGCTTGGGACGTGTGGTTTGTGACCTGTAGCCTAGCTCATCAGATGAGCCACAGTGAATCACACCTACTGAATTTTGATCTGACCCCATTCTGACATACAGAGAGGCATTTGTTAGTAAATACTGCCAGTTCAGAGAATACTAGAAATAGTAATAAGAACTTGTTCAAAAGCATTCATGTGTGTATTTTGCATATGGCCAAGAAACTAGAATGTTTAGAATTTTTCTTTGGCAAGCATTTATAAGTTATAGGCCCAGGTGTTCTTCAAATTTAGAAGATTCTGATACTCTTAAGTATTACAGTTTCTTAGTTTTCCTCTCTTTACCGTCTTTGACCCCAATTCTCTAGACCAGGGTTTCTCAACCTCTGCACTGTTGGCATTTTGGGCTGAATAATTCTTTGTTGTGGGACGCTGTCCTGTGCATTAGTAGAATGTTTGGCAGCAACCCTGGCCTTTCCCAACGGATGCCAGTAGCACTCTCCCCACCCCCAGTGTTAACAACCAAAAATGTCTCCAAACATTGCCAAATGTTTCTTGGGGGGCAGAAATGCCCACTGGTGAGACCCACTGCTCTATAAACAAAAATACATGACATAGAGGAGAGTAAAAAGCTAATGAAAGAAACATTGGATGGAGAGGACTATAGTCATGAACTTTTAGTACACACTTTTCTGTTCTGTCACTTAGGTATTTCACAATTAAGACGGTGACAAAATGATTCCTGTACTTCATTGGTAATGTTATTCTAGTGCTTTTCTCCTAATTCGTTATTTTTTCTTTCTTTTGCAGAATTAAGAGCACGTTTCCTTGTTTATCAGATACATCACTGTTTGATGAAGCAAGGAAGATATAAATTAAAATTTTTTAATACATATCGCTGACTCCATGGAATGGACATCCTGTATAAGCACTGAAAAGCAACAACACAATAACACTAAAATTTTTAGGCACTCTTAAATGATCTGCCTCTAAAAGCATTGGATGTAGCATTGTGCAATTAGGTTTTTCCTTATTTGCTTCATTGTACTACCTGTGTATATAGTTTTTACCTTTTATGTAGCACATAAACTTGGGGGAAGGGAGGTTGGGGTGGGGCTGCAGAATTGGCATGGGGGGGGCTTATGAAGAGCTTGCTTCCATTTAGAGCAAGGAGTAAAATATTTGACTTGCATGGAGAGAAGCGGTTTTGGGAAGGGTTTGAATTGTTTTCTTTAAAGATGTAATGTCTCTTTCAGTGAAAATTGATACTTCATTTAAGAAAAGCATCCGAATTTGAGCACTGGTTGCAAATAATGGCCAATTATTTTTACATGAAGCTTTTTTTCATTTGGGAGCTCTGATGATTCCATATATACTGGCAAATGGCTTTTTTTTTTTTTTTTTTTAAAAAAAAACAAAAAAAAAAAAAAAAAAAACAACAAAACACCTATTCTCAGTCATCCCCGCCGCCCCCCAGTTCCTCTTAAAAGTGGAATTTACCAGTTAATTATTCAGCAATTAGGTAGTCATTCCAGGTAATTCTGAGCAAAAATCTGGGGTATATGAGGGACTTCTGAATGCTCAGAATTGACCATCTAATTTTTATCAGGTTTGTTGAGAAATTTTCTTAATTTTTTTGGACTTTGGGCTATGTAGACACGGTCAAAATAATTCCAAATCCTTGGATATTTTTTAAAGATCTGCAACTTCACTTAAGAAAAATAATGAAATAATTTTTAATTTAAAGCTTCTCATTCTATTTGTTAATCTGTCCAAAGGAAATGGTATTTTTAAAGGAAAGTGTGTAGAGAGAAAAGCACACGTGGAATTATTGAAATGGATACTACATCTTTAAACAGTATTTTTACATTGCCTGTGTATGTGTATGAAACAAACCATTTGAAGTGTACCTGTGTACATAACTCTGTAAAGACACTGAAAAATTATACTAACTTATTTATGTTAAAAAGAGATTTTTTTTAATCTAGACCATATACAAGCCAAAGTGGCATGTTTTGTGCATTTGTAAATGCTGTATTGAGTAGAATAGGTTTTTTCCCTTCTTATGTTAAATAATATGGCTATGCTTAAAAGGTTGCATACTGAGCCAAGTATAATTTTTTGTAATGTGTGAAGAAGATGCCAATTATTGTTAAACATGAAGCAATCAATAAATAAACCTTCCATAGCTATTCATTGAGTTTAACTGTAATGTGTTTTATTAAGCTTGAGGTGTTTGACCTGGCAATCTAGTCTTACAAAAATATAATGTGAAGTGGCAAATATCTTGATAATTTAGGCCCACGTCTGAGATGATGTTTATGTGGCTCTGAACGTGGTAGTCACTATTTTCCACTTAGTTCTGTATGAATGAGCAAAGCTTTAGACATGTGAAGTGGAAAAGCCACATTTTCATATAAATAAGATTGTTAAAACTCTCATTAGTTCAAATATTTAGGTCTTATAGGATATGTGTCAGAACCAAAAATTTTTACGTAAGTGTAGGCTGGCTGATCACACGTTTGCAGGACTGAAAATGAAAGTAACATGGTGACTTCTCTAAATTGTGTATTTACACATAGAAGTGTTGGGAGAAATGAGAGCAGTTGCTTAGACCATCTAATGTACACCTCTTGTCCAACGTATTAAGATATATATAGGTCTTTTAGAAATTGGCATGCATTCCACACTAATTTAAAACAGTATTCTTCAAATTAAACTGGTCATGACAAATTCCTCAATTTTGAACTTTCCTGGTGATAGTCCACAGAACCTAAAACTGGTTAATCTGAATACCAAATCTGAGGGTTTGGGGCCCATATCCACATGGCAGAGATAGATATTTTTTTATTTAAATAAAAAATTTAAACAAGGCCTTTTAAAGTCAAATTTACTAAAAACTGATTCCTGTTATTTCACATTCTCTTAAAAATGTAGCTAAGGTGTAAAAGTAAATTATTTTTTCTAGGCATCTGCAGATGGTTAAATTGCAAAAATCTGAATTTGGGTTAAACTGTTACCCTCAAATACTTGCATTTACATTTTCGCACCCCAAAAGGGACTCTAAACAAGATAGTTTGAGCTTATTTTGACCAGAAGTTGCTTTAAAAAAAGGCGTGTGGAGGGGGTAGGTCGTCTCTCTTCTGCTGCCGGGAAGGGAAAAGAAGGTCCTTTGGTGGCTGGGCTACATCTTCTAAGTAGGTATTATTTTAATTAAAGGCTAAAGGTGTTTTTATGATTCTATTCAAAACACGCAGATGGGTGTTTTTTCAGGAAGACACTGAGAAAGCAAGAAAACAATTCAAAATGGGAAGGAAGGAATGGAGAGTCAGGAAATAATGAAATAAAATTACTTTCTGAGCCAAAAAGCGTACTTCAAAAAGTCTCTGACAAAAGAAAAAATCCTCTTCATTGCTGCCTGTACCCCCATTTTCCTTTCCTCAAAAGGCATCTTTAATGTGAATTTTTAGAGACTGCGTTTTAGTTCTGGGCCAGGAAGAAGTGGATGCTTGCCGCGCCAGGCACGTTCACAGGATCGCAGCCCCCGAGTCACCGGGTCGATCCTTTCCACGTCTGTGTCAACTCTCCAAGTGCGTCCCCGATATTCGGAGCGTCCTCTCCCTGGCCCCTGACGGCGGGGCTCGCCGCGGGCGTCCCTATGAGGGGATGCGGCCGCGGGCGCCAGCCACCCACCACCCTGCTGCCCAGGCCCGTGCGTCGTCCTCTCTCCAAACTGCCCCGAAGCCCCGCACCCTCCCGTCCCGGCAGCGGCGGGGTCCGGCGGCTGGCGCCCCGGGACGAAAAGCCCATCGAGTCTCACTGCTTGTCTGCCACTTGCAGCGCCCGCGCCGCCGGGGTCGCTGCGCGCAGTTCCCGCGCCCCGGGCGCCCGCAGGCGGTGCAGGGCGGCTGCGCCCGGGCCCACGCAGTGGCGCGGGGCGGTTTCTCACCAACTTTCCTCCCTCATCATCTCTCCTCCGGGCTAAGAAAGAAGCGGAAGCCCCCCACTTCTTTCCACATTCATACCCTCCACACCAGCACCTTGCCAATTCTAGAGCGGTGGGGGGATCAGAGCGACGGGGAGAACGTTTCCGAGTCAGTGGAGCCTTCGGGGCAGCAGCCCGCTCCCACTCCCACCCTGGGCTCCAATGATCCGCAGCCCCGCGCATTTCGAAAGGCTTCCCGGCTCGCGGGGGGCCAAGGAGGACCGCAGCGGCCCGCAGGAGGGGCCGAGCGCCACAGCCGGTTGCGGGTCGCTTCCAACCTTGCAGCCGCTTTGCAAAGCCCACCCCCCCACCCCCTCAACACGCATCCCCAGCTGTCCAGCGTGGAGGACTGGGGCAGGGAATAAATGGGGAAATGTGGGGCCAGGTGCATGACTGCGGGACGTAGGGGACAGTGGAAATCCACAGGACTGGAGCGGGGCGCGCGGCCTTTCAGGCCACGGAGCGCCCACCGCCCCGGCCGCGCCTAGCGACTTTTCCCGGCGGCCGGGAAACGCTGCCTTCGCCATTTCATCTTCATCATTGTGAGCGTAGACACTTGCTCTTCATAAGGTTTTTTTGGATTGAAAAGGTGTTTTAAATGCACGTCTAGGATCTCCAATCTGCTTTTCAGAGTGTGGATTTCTTTTTATTAATTTGCCATCTCTTTCACCTGAGCCACACCCAACGCCCGCTCACCTCCCTCCCCGCCAACATTAAGGTAAAAATTCTGCAGACGAACTTGGGGGGGTGGGGGCAGGGAAGGAGGGCCCACGGTCCTGCCAGATCCCCTCCGCCCACCCGGGGTCGGGGTGGGGGGAACCTCCCGGATCTCGGCTCGCTTGGGGGTGGGGTGGGGTGGGGTGGGGTCAGCCTCAGTCGGACCCTGCAGAAGCGAAAGTGTAGTATTTGCACGGACGCCAAAGTCCTCGTGCGGCCGCCCGCGTCCCAGGTCTGTCTCGCGTGGGGACATACAGTAGGCAATTATTAGAAAGCGAAAATACAAAAAGAAATCGGTGCGTTTTGGGCGCGAAACGTCGACGCGCCTCAAAGGAACGCGAAGAAAAGGCAAGGAAAAGGGCGCGCGGCCGGGACGCGGGGCTGGGGGATTGCATCATTGCTGCTCCCCCTCCAGAAAATGGGCTCCGAACCGCGGCGACCATCATGGCGCTCGGGTCGGGCCGCGCTTCCCGCGCGCCTTCCCCGAACGCTCGGGCCGCGGGCACTGAGCCCCAAACGAGCGTTTTGCAAACATTCCCCCCTCCAACTCGGGCGCCTGTCCCCCCACCCCCTCCTTCCTATTGTGTGCCCATGTATGTGACTGCGTGCGTCCGTCTGAGTGTGTGTAGGACTAGAGAACTTGCAGATTATTTTTTTTTTTCCTTTTTTTCCCTCCCTTGCTGGTGGTTGTAAACTTGATTGGCATTGGCTGCGCCCACTGACCCCTGCGCCGAGTCCACTGCAGATTTAAGGTGGATCCGAAAGGCTGCAGCTTCAGGCGGAGTCTCGCGCTTTAGCTGGTTTGGGAGGAAAGAGAGGAAAGGGGAAGGGAAAAAAAAAAAAAAAAAAAAAAAAAAGTCCCAAACCGTGCGCCCGGCGCGTTTTCACAAATCCCCTGCGGTACCAGCCCCCGCGCCCGCGCCGCCGGGCGAGCTCTTTCTCCGCCCACCTCCCGCTCCTTCCCCATTGGCCGGCCGGTGCAGTTTGAATTTTTTCTTTTCTTTCTTTCTTTCTTTTTTTTTTTTTTTTTTCGGATGATTGTTTTCTTGTAAAAAATACAGTACCCCACTTCGTACTATGAAACCCACTGCGGCGGCCCGAGGTGGGGTGTTTTAGCTGGTTTGGGGGAGGCGGGGGGGTGGGGGGGTGGGCGGAGCATCTGTGCCAACATTTTGCCCCGAAATGCGGTTGACATTGTGCAGGCGGGTAGGGGAGCGTGGGGCCGCGGTAAACAAATTGAATAGCTTCGGCGGGGACAGAGATGTAGTATAAAACGTTAATGGATGTCCAGGGCGCACCGTTTCGCCGGCTGCTGGTCAGAGGTGCTAGGGAGTTGCTGACAGGATCCCGGGAGAGGATGCACCTTCCCCTGCCTTGGAAAGGTAGACCTGGGGAGGGCTGGGGCTGGGGGTGAAGTTGGCCCAGAAAAGAACATCTCCTCACAAACAGGGGGGTGGGGTGGGGGGAGAAGAAAGAAACAGGGGAGGTGTAAATATAGCTCAGGTCTATTACTTCAAGCGCTGCTCAGCTAGCATGCATCATAATTCAGCCAGTTGCTGTCATTTTTATTGGATTTTTAAAAAAGTTTTCTCTCTGATTTCGAGAGTGCTTTTGAGTAAGGACAAGTGTTAAAATAAAATTGAGGAGAAAAAATGAGAGAGGGAATATGACTTTTGACGTGACTTTGGTTTCTGGGTCTGGTAATTAATTCTTTTGATAAAGTCCTGTAAGGTTTAGGATAATGTTATTTGTATTACAGGTCTAATAGAAATGATTGCCCTTACTAATTATAGCCCAATTATGTTTCACTTTGCTGTGAAAATTTCAGAAGTTTATAATAATTCAAAGTATTATTCAAATCACTCTATCTTCAGGTTAGTGAAGCTAGCACATATACATACATTGTGGGGTTCTGTTATTCTTCTAGCACTGTAGCTAACGATTTTAACCAGATGTCCAACTCAGCCTTCAGTCCAGCCTTTAGTCTTAACAGTTCTTAACTTCCCCAGTCATTTTTTTAATTAACTCCTTCAATCCTTCCTAACCCAGCTAACGCTTTACTTAGCTCAACCTAACTGAGCTCCTTGGACCACCATAAACCAAACTATCTGTGCCCTTAGAAAGAATTTGTTTGAGTTAAGAAAGCCCCCAGATGGACTGGCTAGCCTCAGGAAGCATTGAGTTCATCATTCCTGAAGTGTGAATCAGTTACTAATCCGGATGACCCCTTGATAGGGACATTATAGACAAGACACATGTATCAAGTGAGTGTGAGGACTAGTTACCTCCAAAGTCTGTTCTAGACCCTTGAGATACTGAATTTCCAACCTTGAACTTTATGGCTATCCAGTAAATTAAGCAACTTTCCTTGGTCATTACCATCTTCTGAGTTGTACTGTCCAATATGGTAGCCAGAAGCCATATGTGGCTGTTGAGCACTTGAATGTGACTAGTCCAAATTGAGATGTGCTGCAACTGTGAAATACACACCAGGTTTTAAGAATCAGTAGGAAAAAGAATGTTAAATATCTCATTAGTAAGTTTTATATTCATTACATATTAAAGTTATCATGTTTTTGATATATTGTATGAAATAAAAAATACTAAATTTCACCTGCTTCTTTTTACTTTTTTTAACATGGTTAAGTGTACAATTTTAAGTTGCCTTATGACTTAAGTTGCCTTATATGACTCCCATTTTATTTCTATTGGACATTGCTGTTCTAGACTGGCACCTATGATAACTTGAGAGTGGGGACTAGTAATACTGACGAGTAAGTAACTTCCAGCTGCCATCCGAACTTCCCAACTGAAAGTGAGGCCCAAACTGAGCCTCCGGAAACTGCCAACACCTAACACCTACTGTTTCATCTTTAACACTTAGTATTGGGTTTGAGCCCAGACTGGAAATATGGTACAGATCTGTCTGATGAAATCAGACGTGATAACAGCTTTCCACATTATGTAAATAGAGAGACTAAGGAGTCCAATATGTTAGGAATGAGTCTGGAAAACAATTTAGACCCCAAACAAAGTGTCTACAGGTAACTTTTCACTACCACTCTGCAGTGGACAGGAAGGCAGGGGCAGATGGAGCAGGGTTCTCACTCTGTGGATATATCTCTAATGGAAGACTTGAACAAATGAAAAGGTGCATCATATTCTTGGGATAGAAATATTCAACGTGATAAAGATGACAATTAAATCTATACTTTTACACTAAATTCTGGTAAGTTCTGATTATCCTATTCCATTCTGTTGTTCTCTCAGTTTATGCACTTAGGACTATGTTCTTTTAATTACTGCAAGTTTTGAATTATGTCTTAATGTTTAGTAGCACTAATCCTCCATACCCAACCAGTCCTTTTCTCTTTGTTTTTTCAGAATTTTCCTGGATGCTTTTGCTTGGCTGTTTTCCCATTTGGACTTAAATGAATTTTTCTAGTTTGAAATCTATTTCTTATAGGCATCTAAAAAAATGGAGTGGGATCCTTATCTCATACTTTACACCAGGGTCAATTCCTGGAGGATAGAGTGAAGTGTAAAAAAATGAAATTATAGACATACCAGAAGAAAGTTCAGAGGATTTTTAAAAAACCTAATCTGAGAGTTGGGAAGGTCTTTCTAGATATGAAACAAAGCAGAGTCTATTGAATATAATATTGTTAAATTCAATGACATAAAAGTGAAAAAGGTTCCGTATGGCGAAAGCTATCAGCAAAGTCAGAGGCAATGACATAGGGGTGATAGTTGCACAACAGTGTGAATGTACCTCATGCCACTAAGCTGTACATTTAAAAAATGTTTAAAGTGGTAAATTATATGTGTTAAACCCTAATAAAAAAATAGATACCTACATGCATGCATACTTACATACATTCATACATACATACATACACACACACACTACTGGAAAAAATTTTAAAGTTGTCCATGTTCTGCCTGAAAGAATCTCACACACAGTGTTGTGGGTCCCATCCTTTGTGAGACGCTGGTTGCATTTCAGGCTCGAGTCAAGAGTACTTGTGTTTGATTCCTGGTCACCTAATTCATTGCCTATAAAAGCTTTTGCAAGTTACTTCACCTTTTAAAGCTCCTATTTCTTTGGCTTTATAATGAGAATGCCTTTAGCTCTCTCATTGGGTTATTAACCTAGTCAGTGGGATATTGTATTTTACTTAGCACAGTACCTGTTATTTAATAGATATTAATCATTATATATATTTATAAACAATATAACATCCAGTTCATATTTTGGATTCTCAAGTAAGCAACCACAATCAGCACTATATTAACCCTGTAAATATGTTTCTCAATTTTAATTACTGCTGTTATTACCCTTAAGAAGAACAATTTTTGTGGCTATTTAATAAACAATATAGTGCAAAAAAAATGGTTAAAATGGTAAATCGTATGTTAAGTATAATTAACATGATTTTTAAAAAATATTTTATTTATTTTTTTGAGAGAGAGAGAGAGCGCGACACGCGCAGGGGGAGTGGCAAAGGGAGAGGGAGAAGCTCGCTCCCCACTCCACAAGGGGCTCGATTCCAGGACCCTGAGATCATGACCTGTGCTGAAGGTGGACAGTTAACTGACTGAGCCACCCAGGCACCCCTATTTAACACTATTTTTTTTTAAAGGTTTTATTTATTTATTTGACAGAGATCACTAATAGGCAGAGAGGTGGGGGAGGGGGTGGGGGGTTGGGGGGAGCAGGCTCCCTGCTGAGCGGAGAGCCCCATGCAGCCTAAATCCCAGGACTCTGAGATCATGACCTGAGCCAAAGGCAGAGGCTTAACCCACTGAGCCACCCAGGTGCCCTATTTAACACAATTTTATTTAAAAACCTAAATAAAGTATTTGTTGAGTTTAGAGCCATTTCTGATTACCTCAGAAAGGATCTGGTATAGATTTGTTTGTGGTACCAAATCAGTAACACACACCCTCCAAACAAATAGAATGGTAAACTGGGAAAACTCTCCACAACCCATATACTGGAAGGCTAATTTCCCTGATAATTATAGAATTTCTATAAATCAATGAAAAAAAAAGCAAACCAACAGGAAAATAAGCAAAGGATATGAAGGCAGTTTTCAGAAAAAGAAATACAAAAGGCTCTTAAAACATGAAAACATGCTCAACTGTAGTTTAAAACTATGGGAATATAAATTGTATACAGAACACATAAGTCAAGGCAAATACGGTCACAGTTAGCATCACTCAGATACAAAGTTGGCCATTATCCTTTCTTGGTAGTTTAACCTCTCCTTCCCTCCTTTCTATCCAAGGTTGAGTGATCGTGTCCCCGCCCGGGGCTTCATTGGTGACCGGAGAAGCAGAGTTTGCATGTGTGGAAGCCATGACCACCTTTCACATTCAGCATCAGATTCCTGTCATCCACCCTAAACCTAGTCTACGGCTTAGGGTCACCTTTTTTTGCTCACAGAAATCCTCTGAATCAGCCTCTTAAAGTGAGTCCGGCCACTTTTCTTGACACATCTCATTCATTCCCAGTTTTAATTCCTGTATATTGGCTGATAATCTGAGCCTCTCCCAAATCACCACCTTCGCCAGGGGTTTCCTTCAAGTTCTCTATTCTCTTAAAAGCTTCAGGCAGAATTTAGTATATGATAAGCACAAAATATCAGATCAGTAGAGACTGTATGATGGAATAAATGGCTTTAGGTGGCAGGATTATAGACAGCCACGTGGGAAAATGTGAAATCTCTCCTACAAAAACACACAGACACACATTGCGTTTTACCTTGTAGACTGTGGGTTTCCTTTTTAATAATTCCTCTTCTACAAATTTACTTTTGGGAAATAATCAGATGTATGACTAAAGATATATTTACCATATATTGATCTTTATGAAGTTATATATTTGATTATAAAAAGGAACAAAGGAGTAAAAAACAACAACTCCTTAGACATGGGAATATGGGATTGATTATTCGAATCAACTGTAGTATATCCAAGAATGACACAGATTGCAGCCATTAAAACACCCTTGGTTCCTTTATATATTCGTAGGAAAAGTCAATAATATTAAAATAGGCACAGAACAATGTTTATGGTATGACTCCATTTTGGTCCAAAAAAATTTTATTTATTTATTTACTTACTTACTTTTAAAAAAGATTTTATTTATTTATTTGACAGAGAGAGAGAGAGAGAGAGAACGAGCAAGAGAAGCAGGAGAGGGAGAAGCAGGCTCCCCGCTGAATAAGAAGCCCCATGCGGGGCTCGATCCCAGTATCCTGGGATCCGACCAGAGCAGAAGGCAGACACTTAACTGACTGAGCCACCCAGGCGGCCTCCCCTTATAAAAAACTTTTAATAAGAAACAACCGCAAAGGTAGTTCAAATTTGAAAAATATTTATCCTTACAGTTATGGAATGCAGAATAAGTTTCTCTTCGTGTCTCTCGTTCTCTTTTCTCAGACATCGGCAGAGAACAAGCATTTCTATAATTCATTTCCCTTCTATTTGTCTGTCTGTTTAGTTTCAGATATCATTAAATCCATATATGAATTATGAGGAGTGCGTTTTGGGGTATATGCTTCCAGAGCACGTAAATGAGGTGTAAATATCATTCCCATTAACTCAGGAATATCTTAACAAGCCCTGAAAAAATTTTTGTGTGCCCTATTCCATCTTTTTGGCACAAGGGATCCTATGGGTAACATTATCCCAAACCTCACATTCCTTGATCTTTGGCATTTGGCACACCCAGGACTCCTGCCCAGAATTCAACAGATTAGCTCCCTGTCTTAGTTTTATTACTTAGGACGTAGTGCTGGGGAGATTGTTTTAAATTTCTCGTTAGCAGACCAGTCTTGAGCTGTGACTCTCCATGAGACTGACTTGGGGCAAATCTTAGAGTCTCCGAATACCAGCTGTGGGAGATCATGGCATCCAGTGTCCATTTTATAGATGAAAATATTCTAATCCTTGACTTCCTGTGAAGTGGGGAAGTTAAGATGATTTATAGGTTCCTTCTGGCTTATGATTCTGTGATTTCTGTTTCCTACTCAGAATCACATAGTCCATCCACGTGGATCAGGTTATTTTCCAGGGAAGCCAGATTCTTGATTTTTGGCTAAAAACCGCATATTCACAAGAGTCAAAGGAAGATGATCATACAATAGTGTAGACGGAACAGTGAACGTTTATTATCTTACTGGAAAAAGCCCGTGATAACTTTGTGGTTGCTCAGTGGTGCTAAACACTGCTTCATTGTTGCATGCAGACTCGTCCAGCCCCTGCTACGGGCCAGGCTCTGTGTCTTCAGGGAGACAAACAGGAGTATTGCCCTCTTCAGGCTGTTGGAGGAGATGGACAGGGAATTGCAGCCGTACTTATTAAATGGAATTTGCTCTAGTGTTCCGAAGGGATCTCAGAGCTTCTGTTTTATGCTCCAGCAGTTTGGGCCCCCTACAAAGGTGTTCAGCTGGGGGAGCAAAGCAGGGGCTGAAATCCTAACTCTTTCCCCAAGTCTGCCTGTGTTGGCCAAAGAGAAACAAGCCATTAAAAATCCAGCTCTCCACGTGGGGCCTTCTGTAGTTTGCTGTAAGTCCCCTGTGTCCTAACGGCTGCTCTGTAGGATGCCCTAAGAGTTTGACACGGGGTACCTAACCTAGCCATGGTGGCGAGGAAATCTCTCCTAAGGAAATGACTTTCAGCTGAGACCTGGAGACTAAGGGAGGAACGGAAGGAGAGTGACCCAGGCAGAGGGGTCCAAGGCCCCAAGTTGGGGAAGGACTTTGAGGAAGTGGAAGAAGGTGCTTGTGGCTGGGATGCCATGAACCAGGACAGCGGGAATGCGAACTCTGGTGGAGTTATGGTGAGGTCTAGACATGATGGGATTCTGGACCTGACTTTAAGAGCAATAGGAAAGCCATTTCTTTGTAAGACATTACTTAAGCAACTGACTTGTGCAGGTTCAATTAAACTTGATTATTATCCTCCTTTAATCTAATTCTAGTCAAAGCCCTTAGTCCCTTTTTTTTTTTTTTAAGATTTTATTTATTTATTTGACAGACAGAGATCACAAGTAGGCAGAGAGGCAGGCAGAGAGAGAGGGGGGAAGCAGGCTCCCGCTGAGCAGAGAGCCCAATGTGGGGCTCAGTCCCAGGACACTGAGATCATGACCTGAGCCAAAGGCAGAGGCGTAACCCACTGAGCCACCCAGGTGCCCCAAAGCCCTTAGTCTTGATCAGGATCATTTCCACTGGATGTGGGCAAGAATGCTGAGGCTGGCACCTTTGTGTTTCTTTGCAATGCTGTTCAACACACACCACAGAAAACATGTTTTCAAACTCTGGTTTCAGTAAACAAAGGGGATGTGAAGTCTTTGGACCATCAGGGCAGATACTGGTCACAACCAATACATTGCTGGTTTAGTGGGGGACCCCCTGCTGCGCCCCGCAAATCCCACCTCCTGGTGTCCTCTGTTGAGTGATGGAAGCTGAAAGTGTGCATCTTACCCACCACTAGGGCTCCCCCCCCCCCCCCCCCCCCCCCCCCCCCGCTGCCAGTTCAGCTTGCCTTCTCTTCTCTGACATGATGAGCCAGTGGCCTGTCGTTTTAGGGGTGTGCCCCTGGTGTGCCCTTTGCGGGGACAGTGGGTGTGAATCTTTAGCCTAGTGGTGAATACCGAATCGTTTTTCTTCAAATAGCTCAACATTTTTTTTGCCTTCCATTTTTACTGAGCAACTGGCTGGAATGTTTACAAATGGTTTGGCCAAAGGATTCACCATTTATTTGGTTTTGGAAGGAGACTTCAGAGGAGGGATGAGAAAAACGAGCAAACCCAGAGTTCTGTTTTTTGTTTTTGTTTTTGTTTAAAAACAAACAAACAAACAAACAAACCCTGAAGATAGGAAAAGAGAGACCTCTGCTGGCCAAACTGAGATAACGCCCTGCCCTTGGTCTGTGACTCCAGGAGAAGCTGTCCCTCCGGTGGAAGCAGGTGTTGGCACGTTCATGGCTCCCTGTTCATTTCCTCAGCCATCAGTTCAGGGGCTTTGGGAGCGAATCTAAGTGACCTGTACTTCCCAGCTCGGTCCCGATTACTTCTGTTCCAGTCTCTGGGAAGAGTGTCAGTCTTTTCATATTTCTCAAAAACAAGCGCTAAACAGCAGCGCCAGGGAAACACCAGGCCTGAAACAGCTCCTACATCTTCTCTTTGTTTCCTTTCTCTTTCCTGCCCTTCGCCTCCCCGCCTCCCCTCTGACAGGGAAACAAAATCAAACACATCTTCCCTCAAAATCGGGAGATGGTGCTGATGGAAAGGGAGAGGGAGGAATTAACCACTTATCTGTATTCTGTCCTCCACTGAATGTGGCAGCCGGGGGCCCAGGATTGGGATTACACACCCGAGGGACTCCGTCAGTGGGAGACCCACTGCTCGTCTGGAGAAGACAGAGGGTGGTTATGTGGGAGGAGCGGGGAGGGGTAGGGGTCTTCTTGAGCCCTTTGGTTTGTCTGCAGTGAGGACCATGAGGACCAGGAGGAGTGCCCATGGCCCAAGTGCTTTACATACCTTAATTCTGTTTCCTGCTTTGCCTCTCTCTCTGCAATCTTATAGCCATCTTTCTCCAGGAAAAAAAAAAATTAAAAATAGGTCAGCAATTTAGAACAAAGCCTGCATAAAAATAATAGCTACGTGTGTGCTTGCTATTTTATTAGGTTTGTTTTGTTTTGTTTTGTTTTGTTTTGTCTCTGGACTAAGCCGCACCCAGCCTGCATATGAGAAGAGGCTTTCCCTGGGCTCCGTGCTCTCTCCGTCCAAGAAAACACCTTGGGGCTGTGGTGGAGAGCTGCAGAGGGGCCTCCTGGTTCTGGCACTTTGTTCCCACACGATGGTTCCACATCCTGTCTCCCTGTGTCTAACCTGCTCTCACTCATTCTCCTAGGTTTCACCAACCTTTTCTGCATCTGCTAACACAGGAGCCATTGGTACCAAGTGATGGTCACTTTATGGCCGGCAAAGGACCTTAAATCATCTAGCCCAAGCCCCTCTTTTGAGACAACTGAAGCCCTGAGAGGTTGTCAGCAGCCTAAAGTTACTCACCTCGTGGCTGGCTGAGGCAGGACTGAAACCCAGAGGCCCTGGATTCTGGAGGAGACACTTCCTTTAGGACACCCACGCTGAACTTGCACAGATGTCCGTTGTGCACAGATGGTTCGTACTTTTACTTTCTGCTCTTTCTCCCTGGTTGCCTATCCATCACCCCCTCTTCTAAGGCTTCCACTCCTTCATACTGCACACAGGCAAGCCTGGGCCAATTACTGTATCCACCAGGCAGCCCTGGGTGGCTTTCCTTTCCTCCCCACACTTTACCTCTTCTGCTTGCACCTGGTTAGTGCGGTAACAAATCCCTTGACTCACACCTTTACGGAGCAAGGCTCCCAGACCTCGTACCCTTCTCTGAAATGCCTATTGATGTTGGCATTCCCGCGCTGCTAGGTAGTCTTGAGTGTTTTTCATGTATGCATTAAGTTTGCGTATGTCGGAAGTTGCCTTATCCTTATTTTAACCCTCTTTGATTCTTCAGCATAGTACAGTGCCTTGGACTGGAAACCCAGTCCCTTAACCCAGCAGAGTAAATCTCTGTAACTCTGGGAAGGCCAAGTACGGTGGAAAGCCAATTATATAGCCGTTTTAAAGCAGGGTGTCCTTTTCCGACTTTCAGATGATACTGTGTAGTTTCTAATATGGTGCCCTGGGTATCCTGTTAACATTTGCTAGTTTTGTCAATGACAAATCATCCAACCACAGAACTTCTTCATTCATGGACCTGGCGGTTATTGAAGGAGTGCCCCGAAAGTATGGTGCACTGCGTTAGGCCCCTGAAGGCATTTGAAAAAAAAGTTTGACATCTGCCACTCTGTCCCCTTCTGGCTGTCTGGAAGGTGGATAAGATGGATGCAACCTGAGGAGGCATCCTTTGTTTCTGAGGATAGAAGGTGCATTGTAGAGCACAAAGATCCAGGAACTATAGGGGGTGCCTTACCAGCTCAGCACCACTTATCTCCAGAATTCCTTTAAAGAAAAGAAAAATACACTTTTATCTTGTTTAAGCCACTATTATTTCTGGTCTCTGTTACTAGCTGCCAAATGCAAATCTTAACTGATAGAGAGAAGTCCTTGAGGATTTTTGAGCAAGGGACTGATTCTGATTGGTAGCTATGCAAGAGATAGATTCCTGGCTGGGGAGCCGGGGTGGGGAGGTGTTCCGGGCCATACAGAGATAAAGTGGGCCTGGCAGGTGGGTACAGATAGTGGGGCGAGGCTTTGAATGAGGAGAATACACACATCTTGCAGGGGGTCATTGATTTTGTTTCTTTTCCCCCAGGACACCTCTGCTAAACTCCTGTTATATAGTGGCTACTTAAATATGTACTTCCTGAGTGATTTGCATTGTGCTATTGTCAGGTGGCCTGAAAGCTAGGGAGATTGAGAAGATGGGCATTCTTTGTGTCTTAAAAAGGAGCAGGCGAAAGCTGGCACAGGAAAAGCGTATCAGTGTTACAGTCAAGCGAAGTTACTATGTTTGCTGAACTCCTGCAGGCATTTCCAAGGAAAGGAACTTTTGTTACATGGGACTGTCTAATCAAGATACATTTGAAATGTATCCTCTCCTGGAGAGCAACTGTAAATAATATTTTAAAAATGTGTCTTGGAGTAACTTGCAGGGTAAAGATACATTTCATGTGCTAAAAAACTTGTAAAAGGGGGAAAAATCTACTTTATTAACTTACTCTCAGCTTCCCATCTTCCTAGTGCACTTTTCCTCTTGAGGTTGGGCGGGTAATTTCACACCTCTTAGATTAGAAGACATTTCATTCTTGTTTAAATAGGTTAGAAACATATGAGCGTGGAGCTGTGATCTAGCATAATATTCCTGTGAACTAGCTGTGCTAACCTAATATCTTGGTCTCTCTGTTTCCTTAAAAATTTGTTGACAATTCCAAAGTTCTTCCAAGCCTGGCTCAAACAGGTAATTGGAAGCCTACTACAAATACCAAGGTCCCTTAAGGCATTGGCCGTCAGCCTTTCTCTCCCTGCACATAGAAAGGCAGATGTGCCCAGTATTGCCTGAAAATTCTTGCTCGTTAATTATGTCTCCCCAATCTTGCCCTCATTTGGAAAAAAATACGATTGACTGCAAGCCATTGGGGGTGCCTGGGTGGCTCAGTTGGTTAAGTGTCCCACTTTTGATCTCAGCTCTGGTCTTGATCTCAGGTTCATGAGTTCTAGCCCTGCATTGTTCTCCATGCTGGGTGTGGAGCCTCTTAAAAAAAAAAAAAAAATGCAAGCAACTGAATATTAGGTGTACCTGGACTACCTGTTGCAAACTTCCATACCTTTCTACCAGCTCAATTTTAATAGCATATATGACTGTCCCTCGTTTATAGTGGGAAGAAACAGGAAAAAAAATGATTCCAAATATTGGGTTTTGATTTACACCTCCCTGAAGTGCCTGGGTTGAACCCCCAGTAGTCTGATAAGCAGATATTCTCTCCATACAATTAAAGAGATAATAACACGAACCAACATTTCTGGAGCACTGTGTGCCAAGTCACATATCTACATTACTTCTTTTAATCCTGATGAAAATTCTGAGCAACAGCTGTCTCGACGAGGAAACTGAGCCTTGGAGCTATTGCTCACAGTCACATTAAGCAGCTGAACCAGGGCCCAAATTTAGGTCTCGCTGACTCTTCGCATGGGTTTAGAGGGTGTTCTGTTATTCTTGTAAATAATCTCAACGAGAGCCAACTGGCTCAGGGTGACACTCGATTCCAAATCATTCTCTTTTACTTTTTGCCAGATTGGAAGACTGTCTAGTGATTAAATATTTCTGGCCAGCAATATCTTGCCATTTATGGAAAAATGATACCCCCTAATCTTTAATAATTGTTTCATTAAGAACAAAAACAATGTGCCTGCTAAGCTTTGGAATGACTGCAGGAAAATCTCAGTACTTCTTGTACCTTCCTCTCTGTGTCTCCAGGGGCAAGATGGAAAGAAGAGTATCGCTTAGCAAAGTTGCTTTAGGAAGAAGACAAACAGAGGATGCTACTGAGCTATGATTAGTAGATAACTTTCTGTGACAGGCTACAACCAGCACAGGACACTTTAAGGTCTGGAAACCCCCCTTTTTTTTTTTTTAAAGATTTTATTTATTTATTTGACAGACAGAAATCACAAGTAGGCAGAGAGGCAGGCAGAGAGAGAGAAGGGGAAGCAGGCTTCCTGCCGAGCAGAGAGCCCAATGCGGGACTCGATCCCAGGACCCTGAGATCACGACCTGAGCCGAAGGCAGAGGCTTAACCCACTAAGCCACCCATGCGTCCCTGGAAACCCCTTCTTAAGGGATAAGGCCATTTTATGTTCCCATAAGCTTGGAGAGCCTAAGAAAGGAGTTTTTAAAAGATATGAGCTTGTCTCAGAACTTCCTTTTGCTTTTTAGTTGCATAGAGAGTCTGGTGTTTCCAAGGCTGCCTTGTAGGTTAGGGAAGAAAACCCAATCCTCTCTTTGCCAAACTTGTTCATGTTAGCTCTCCTATCTCCTACTTCATTGGCCTGGGAAGGGGGGACCTGGCTTGCTTTTGGGGAGGTGTAGCAAGGTAAGAGCCAAGTGATGTTTGCTAATTTGTTTGGTTTTTTTTTTTAATTTAATTTTATTTTTTCAGCATTCCAAGATTCATTGTTTATGCACCACACCCAGTGCTCCATGCAATACGTGTCCTCCTTAACACCCACCACCAGGCTCACCCATCCCGCCACCCTGCTATTTTGTTTATTTAGTGAGGTGGTCTCACTAAAGAAGTCATTTCTTTTGTGTGCCTGAAGAGTTCCTCGGGACATTTTCTCATTTACCTGGGTTTCAGGTGCTATTTTGAAGGTAATTTTGTCGAGAACAGTTCAGGCTTAGGTCTTCTTTTCAACCTGGCAGGCCCTGGAGACACCAGTTGCTTCTTGGGTGGGACTACACCCACAGCTAGGGGGAGCAGTGGGGTGGGTGGGCAGAGACAGAGTGGGTTACTTGAAATCTAAAGCAGTCCTATTTGCAACAACGTAGATGGAACTAGAGGGTATTATGTTGAGTGAAATAAGTCAATCAGAGAAAGACAATTATCATATGATCTCACTGATATGAGGAATTTAAGAAACAAGACAGAGGATTATAGGGGAAGAAAAAGGAAAATGAAACAAGATGAAACCGAGAAGGAGACAAACCACAAGAGACTCTTAATCTCAGGAAACCAACTAAGGGTTGCTAGAGGGGAGGGGGGTGGGAGACATGGGGTGGCTGGGTGATGGACAGTGGGGAGGGTGTGTGCTATGGTGAGTGCTGTGAATTATGTAAGACTGATGAACCACAAACCTGTACGCCTGAAACAAATAATACATTATATGTTAATTAAAAAAAAAAAGAAAAAATATAAATCTAAGGCAGTCTTCCTCAGCGGGCCATGGCAATGTCTCGGTGAACCAGGCCATGGCAGACTTGTAGGTAGAGTCATGGTCTTCGTGTAGGATGCCTAGCTTATGAGGGAAACTAATAACCTCCCCACAAGGCTGTTGTCATGAGCCACTGAAATAATGTACCTGAAAGTGCTTTATAAATACATTATTATAATGTGGGAAAATGGTGGCTAAAGCAAGTGTTACAAAATGTCAGCTATTATTAATAAGAGTGCAATTCAATATTAGGCCCACTTGGAGAAAGCTGATTTATCCAAGCATGGGTCGGTGCCTCATGTATTTGAAAAGTGCATTTTTCAATACACTTGTATTTTTGAAAAGTTTTTTTCAGAATACATCCTCTCCCTACCTGTGATGTTCCTCAGCATCCATTCCCATCACTCCCCACTCTCTCCAATTTGCATCATCTTTTCATATAAATGCATTCTTCCATTCAGTTTTAGCGGCTGGAACATGCATTCGGTTTCCTTTGTCGTTCTCTCCTCTGTGAAGCGAACATTAACTACACATTATTCTTTACTTCAGGAACACGAGGACAATTCAAAGCCAAGGGCATGTTGGAACACTGGATAATCTGATGTCACATGGCCCATGCTTGGAATAATAAGTATATTTTCCTCAGGCCTGGCATCTCAGACCTGCTTCGTAGGACCAGTGCCTCATTTCTAAGCACAATATTTCCTAAT